TGTGTGTGTGTGTGTGTGTGTGCGTGCGTGCGTGTGCGTGTGTTGTGCTGCTGTCAAGACTGATCTGTAAACAGCGTCACATTGCATGGTGCTTGCATCAATATATCCAAGGAGTGATTGTACGATTTCCATGATGTATGTTGTCCTTTATATTTGATTTAAGGTGAAGTAACATTAAAATGAATGAGTACATATTCTTTCTCACTCTTTTTCTTGTAGCACTGCCAGTAACTCAAACAAGAGCACACCTGCCTGCTCACCAGTCCTACGCAAACGCTCACGCTCTCCCACACCACAGACCCAGGAGGGTGAGAACATGGTGGAGAAGGGTTCTGACCACTCCTCTGACAAGTCCCCCTCCACGCCCGAGCAGGTCGTCCAGAGAACGTACTCCCTGCAGTCAGCGCGAAGCGGGGGAAAGAACTCGAAGGTGAGTGACCAGGAGATGCTCCTTCGCACCTGATTGATGACCAGTGAGGACATGTAGAAATGGAGGTTAGACTCAAAATTTCAAGTGTGATAGCATTCTATCAGAGGTTAGAAAATTATTTTGTGTCTCGCTCTCTTGCTAAAACCATCTCTGTCAACACAAGCGTTTTGGCTCTGTCTTAGTTTGATTCCCCGTCCATACGAACACACCTGAAAATGCTTATCACATAACCATTGGTGTACACTGGGCATCCACATGCTGGTGTGAACAGGAAGCATTTTGTTGTTGGTTGCAGAGAGGGAGGCTACAAAGGAGAAGCAGCAATGGTGAATATAAAAATGTAGAATTGAACTGCACAGCTGTTAGCAAAGACAACAGGGTGAGCAACCCTTTTAATTGATTATCCATGTTGTGTTCTACACTGGTGGCCGAGGCTAATGCCGGTTGCTTTCTTCTGATATGGGGTCATGTGATCAGTGCCTGACGAATCAGCAAGGGTTACGTTGTGATTGAAGAGATCCAGTCAGTTAGTGCAAACATCTCCGTTTCTGCCCTTCCTGATTGAAACGCTGCTCCGTAGTTTTCAAACTGAAACAGGGCCAGTAGCATTTCCAAACTTCGGAGTAGTGTGGATGCCAGATATATCTGTAGCAGAGTTGATGCATTTCCATACGAAAACATGGTAGTATGGATGTAGCTAAGAAACACATAACATTCTCAGCTCAAAGGTATTTTCTTTTGGCTGAAAAGAGTCGTCTCTTATGAGGAGAGTTTCCTGGGTCAGAACAACCATGAGGCACTCTGGATGTTGTGAGAAGCCTCATTGTGGATTTCACAGACATGGATTACTGTAAGAATAGACTGATGGGGATCAGGCTTAAAACACGTCTTTGAAACTATGAGTAATATCCGAGCAGAAACATAACAGCAGCCATGACGTGTGATTAGACTTGTTTCGTGGATTTAGATGCAAATACTGCAAGACAGCATCAAAATGAGACTTGTACATTTACGTAAATGTTGATTTTAAGGAAGAATATGTCATGTTTTCCTTCTAAAGTCAAATACATAAAACAGCTGTAAAATAAGTTTTGCTGCTGCTTTTGTCATACTGTTAGATCAGCCTGGCGTACTGCGTTAGATAATATATCTATCTGTCCTCCTGCCCGAGATGATGTGTAAGCTCTTGTGTGCAGCCATCCATTCACTGTGACTGCACAAATACGTTAGAGTTGTGCAGTGACGTATGTGTTATGATTGGTTATTGATTTGTACATACTGACATGTAACTAGTGTAGCTATCACTCTCCCCCCTCAGGAGAGATTTCACCCTTCTCCTCTTCCATTCCAGCCTTTCATTTTTCACATCTCATGTTCTCCCCCCATTCTCTGAACTCTTTATTCGTCCTGCTAAGAACAAGTGAATGATAAACAGGACAGTTGAGTATTGAAATGCTGTTGTGCGATTCTGTCTCCAGACCTGAGATAAAGTAAATGCCAGTTTACACACAGGAGAGTTTGAGTTATCCCACACAATGACTTGTGTTGACAAATCTGTCTCACTTATTGACCCGCTGTTGATAGTTGCTAGAATTAAAGGTCGGAACTAGCAGTGTAGGATGAAGGCATTTAACAGACAATGCAAGAATACGGTTTGTTTCACACTTTAATTAAAGTGCAGCCACTGTCAGCAGCATTAACCCTCTGCTTATTGTCAAAGAGATTCTACACCTGATTAAGAAAAACACCACATCCATCCTAAACTAGTAATACTGGTTCCCTCAGTAAATCTAATGTTGTTTTAGACTCTTGGAGTTTGTTTGAATGTTAGTATGGTTCAATTGTTTAGATGGGTTTTCACAAGATGCATATACAGGTCCTGAGTGAAGGATGTTCATCACATATGTACATATAAATGGTTTTTCTTCTGATTCTAAGATTCATTTTTCGACATTCAAGAAATTATTCCAGCCTAAAATGCATTGAAAATATGGTGGGAGTTTAGGTTAATAGGATAAGTTCATGTATTTTAATCTGTCTTAAAGCAATTGCTTATATGTGTAATGAAGCAGGTTCTTGTTGCTAAAATGTTACTGTTTGTTTGTTAATTAGCAGGATTACAGAAAAACTACTGAACCTATTTGCATATAATTTTGCGGAGGATCATTCGATTTTCCAGATAACAGGCGGCTCCAGGAGTCTTTATTGCTTTCTACATATATATTATATTATTATTATAATACAATAGCATTAAAACAATGCAAACAACTGGAGAGAAGGTTTACATTTTACAGTTGGTAGTGTAATTCATATTAATCTAGATTTTTATCCAATCATTTACATTGTCAGTAATGTGATAGTTTTTTTTTTACCTCCTTTAAGGTAAAAGAGACGGGGCGTTGGCGGAGATATGTTCTCTCCAAGCACCCTTGCCGTTTTTCTTGTTACAACTGGCTATCAATACATCCCTTCCCATTTAAGTGATGGGAACAAACTTCACAGTACTGACTCTCTCTTTACCAGAAAACATTCTTTGTGTCACTATGCATTTGTCACAGCCCAGCAAGGAAAGAGAGGATAAAAAGATTTGGAAGATATCCTGTTGATTTCTCACTCACAATCCTAATATTAACTTCAGATAAACGTCAGAATTTGCACAGAATGTAGATTTTGCCACTTATTACACTAATGCACATTGGCAGTGCCTTAGAAGGAATCTCTTAAGTATCAGGCAAAAACACTCAGTGTGCACACAGTACATTCATGAGATCATTGTTTTAAGACAGACTTTAAAAAATGTGAACTTGTCCTTTAACAGCGAACTGGAGCTCTATTTGACACTGGCAGAGGTTTACTGGCTGTTTTCTGGTGACTGAAGACGAACTGCATTGACTGTTCTTGTTGTTATACACTGTGTATATTATGAAAGCGTAAGGGACAGCACATAAAGCTCCTCGGTCTTAACTCTTCATATATACATACAGTATATAGGACAACAACAGAAAGAGCAGCCCGTTGCATCTGTGGTCATTCCAGAGTCGTATTGATTATAAATTAGTTTTTTGGTGTTTACATAAATTGCATCGTCTTCCTTCTCAGTTGAAGTTAAAGCTGAATCTCTCACACATCCAGGTTATTTGTCAGAAGGAGCATATTGCTCTTTTATATGCTCAACATTCATTTAGGCTCCCAGTGTTAGAAATGACACTCCCACCATCTTTCACCTCTGTCTTCATCTGTCTCTGCTGTTTTAAATCACTGTTTGTTTGTTAGTTTTCTTTTTTGTTTGGCTCTTCTTTTTTTTGTGTCCACACCACAGTGTGCACGTCTTCTCTCTCTGCTGCTGATGCTACATGCCATGTGATAACGTGTGCCATCTGATAATGACTGTTCAGTTCCTCTGTTGGTTCTTTCAGCTGTTTCTTCTTGCAGTTTGTTTTTTCTTTTCAGTTTCATTTTTTTCTATCTGATTTTTTCTTTGTTCTTCTCCTGATTGCATGCTAGTCTCACAAGCGACTTTCCAAAGTAAGCATTACTCTTTTTTCTGTTCTTCGAATATTTCTGTGCCCAGCTTTTTCTACCCCACCCCGATGCCCCACTTCTTGTCTTGTGAGCTGCTCTGTGGAAATGTCCAAACCTTGTTTGCAATGCTTCACCCCTCCGAACCCAGCTTGTTCCTTGGCACATTGCAACTGTTACAAGCTCCCATCTGCACCCACAATCATACCAGATGGACATTCCTTGAGACTGACACCGAACCTCACTCACTTCCTTTCCTCGTTCCTCTCCTGTCTTTTCCTTTCTGGTGATATGCAATGTAGCAACTCCTGATTACTTTTTCAAATATCTCTATTAACATTAGCATAGACACAA